CTACTTTATACTCCAAAACAGGCTTGCGCGTAGATCCGACTCTACGCATCTGCATGCATAAGGCAGCGACTACCGCAACTGCGCTGTGGCAGATAAGACCCACCTTAGCAATCATGTGATGGCGTTTGTTGGTGAGTACAGGCCACCATCCTCGTAATGTGTTTGAATCGAACAGATTCACCGAGTTTAGTTCATCATCAGGTGGCACTCGATACTTCTGAAAACAGAGAGGTGTGGTGAAAGGATTGAAACAAGAGAAAAGAGGTCAGTGAATGAGGGATAAATGTAGTCTTAAAAGTCTTATGGATCATGTATCACTACCATTGGCACTGGGTACGGTACTTTGGTGTTTTTGCGTAATTTGCATCCACATCGGGTATCCTTACAAAAAATGCATATCCTGGAAAGAAATCCACTTCAGACGAAATTCCCGTACGATGCAAAACCCAATATTTCAATACCCGACGTACCTTACACAACAGCATCGTCGACTGCACAGATTACATCGATCCCGCACCCTTCGTTTCCTTATGATACCAATATCCTCTGGATCGGCTATTCCCTCTAAAACGTTATGACTGGTGTGCGCATCCGACGGAAGCAAGAGCCTGAGCTCTACTAATGGGCTAAGTTACCTTTAAAATGCGTCAAATCCATGGCCATTTGCCCTAACATCACATCTTTACGGAATTTATTCTTATCCCACAATTGAATGATTAGGAGTGGTTCCACTAATTCCTCACTGGCCTTCCTGAACGAAATTTATTCGTCAATGGCTGATGCGATCGTTAAAATTAGTTGGATATCGATTAGTTAACACGTTGACGACCGCGCTATTTTTCGCTGTCTGGCGTGTGGGACCGCGCGCATTATTTTGACCGCGCGAGTGTGACATGGCATCATGTCAACACGGTTCCACGAGAACTCCTTTTTCTCAGGAAAGTGTGTATTTGATATCTTTCTGCGGGGGGCTGGCTTAGGGGTCCGATTTATGAAATTGGTATTTTAGCGATTCTTTTAGTGATCATTATTCAAACATTTTTAGAAAAACTCGATAGCCCATCAACCGAAGCTTCTTTCCAGGAACCACGAATTTTGTAACAGTGCCTAAGTATGGCGCATACATCACGTAAATAAGTTACCTGAAATGTTCGAAAACCTGCTTAAAAAGACTGTGATCATGTTCATGGCCTCTTTCGGCCACGTGGGAGCCGCTGTGTGACATGAGTGAGGTCACCGGTCCACGTGTCAAAGAGGTGTTGGTATTACATCATACCACACGGTCGCAGTCGTGTTGAATATGCGGCAGCCCACAATTCGCCGAGTTAATCGATATCGCCCAATACTAAAATCTAGTGTGGACTACTGTACAGAAACACGTATCTTATACATAGAGTCGGAAGATCTATGACTGTAGTGAGCTGTACTTTTAAAGCAACAGTCCAGCAGGGTTTTTACCTTCGACACTAATGGTGTGGAACGATGTGACTTTTTTGTGTCAGTCACACTTCTTGTGCTCATGGCTAGGGTTAGCGCACCGCTCCAAACTTAGTGCTGAAGGTAAAAAGGGTTAGTGGGCGTTTTTGTAAGAAACAGCTTCAGTTGTTATACAAGGGGCTCAAACGAGTTCTACGCAGCGATCATCGAAGTTGGGGTAGGTGTGGCACCAGGAATTGACGTGTACTTGATAGCAGTTGCGTGGATGAGCTGTTTCCAGCATGCTTTGCTGATATCCAGCGATGTATGCTGGAAACAGCTTATCCACGCAACTTCTATCAAGTACACGTCACATCCGGTGCCACACCTACCCCAACTATCGGATATCGAGTATATATATGTAGTGTTGGTGACAAAAGTATGTGTGATGCGCCCGAAATTCTTCCTATCCCGTAGAACTGTCGACTTCCTCACCATCGAAGAATCCGCCCATTCCAATTTTTCTTGGATACGAAAAACCTTAGATTTTTTCATTTCTCGCCGTTTTACATGCAGCTTTAGATTTTTTTAATAATGGAAAACTTTCCCCTGCTTTCCCTGTATCAAAAGTATGTGGACACTTTTCGAAAAACAGAAATATCTTTAGAATCAAAGACTGGTAGGCCTACCAAAGATTCTGATAAGTTCAAACATTTTGTTCGGCATGTTCTGAACCAGGCTCCCGATACCTGTTTCGTCGAACTCTTCCCAAGCAGCTAATTTCAGCAACTTGTAGGTCACTTGGGGAACTACTTTTTCTTTAATGGCGCAGAAACAGTGAACCACTATCCCACTACGTTTTCAATAAAGATGTGGTCTGAGGAATACGCCAGCATCCGCAACCCTCGCGTTTGCCTCCTTCCCAAATGGAATACGTGTAGGGGACCCCCTTGGGCTTGCTGCAAAACAAGTGTTTTGTGACGCTGGCTTCTCGAAAAAGGTATAAGTCGGGATCCAAGCACCTCATTATAATCCTAATTGTCTACCTGACATGCTGGCAAGCCAACTCCAATTTTCCGCTTCTTTTGAAACCACCCCAGACAATTGATGAGCCTCCTCCGAAATGTCTTTGAGTACAGCTGCGGGTCACGACGAAGGTCCCTCCATTTGCAACGAGATCCACCCGAATAGCCAAAGATAAGCTTTTTCTCACCAGTCGAGGTTGTCTAAGGGGAATTTTCCAGAGCGTCTTTTATTCTTATCTTATTGTTTTCAAAAGCGCTGTCTGTCCGGGTTCAACGTCTCATGTTGTGATCTATTTTTGAACGGGAATTCCAACCTTGCCAATCTGTGCTGCGCATCCATACACGAAGCTTTCTTCATCTTCTCTCGTGTCGTGTGCTCACTCGATTGGATGGAACACCGAGTGGTCTTTTTTATAAGGGAAGTCATTTTAGCGCGAACGCGGATAGCAGACCAAAGAAATTTTGAGACAGTACAGGCTATTCTTGTGTTGTTTTGAACAAGTAACGATTGAAGACGACCCTCAATCAGTGTTGGGAGCTTAGCATCAGGATTCTGGATCTCTTTCCCAACAACGAGGACGCACGACCGGGTTGACGTGCGATTTCGCAATAGGAAGGTTCAGAAACATGAGGATCCCACATCTGTGCTTGGTCTTCTTCAGAAAAATGCTTGCCGTGAAGAGGAATGATGCCAGAATAAGTAACGAAAGGAAAAAGTAAAATAGGTTAGGAAATCGATGCAAAAACTTCATCTGCCTCAGGGTGTCCACATAATTTTGATACAAAGAAAAAATTTCCATGAAAAATAGTTCGCTAAGTTAGAACGAAATCTTTTGCCGAAATGTCATTGTAGGTTATCGACCACTAGGAGTTGAATGGTGAAGGTTTCATAACACAAAAAGCCTTTAGCTGACCCCTGAGAATCGATTCTAGGGTGTCCACATACTTTTGGTACGCACTGTATAGCTGCCGCAGAATTTCATGACCTTCATTCATGAGTCGATCGAGAGAGTTTCGCACAAACCATGAACATCGCTTTAATTTATTGACGTTGCTACCTTCACCATCCTGCTTATTGGAAGCCTCTTCATACCTGAACAGTCTCTTCTTGTGAGAGCTGACAAGCTTCCTTTCCCATGGGTTGAACGCGATGTCAATAACGAAGCGCCAATTGAATTCACCACATCCGTCCGTTGACCTGAAAGAGCAGGGAGTCAACACAATAAAAACATCAAAATCGTCGAGGAACAAGCAGCATACCGAAAATGCACGTCTGATTTTTGTGGCTTCTGTGCTCCATTTGCGAAGACTTTCACGTACAAGTCCGCCGTCTGAAAGTAGTCAGGTCATGAGCTTCCACGTTTCTTTTTCCATAAGGGCTCCCCTGCTGCCGCTTACCGGTAATCCGAAACTCCTCTTTACGGGAATCGCTCCAGTCACGTTGAATAGAGCTACGCGTAGCTGATACTTCTCTGGATCACGAGGGGTAATATCTATCGATGGCGGCACTGGCCCATAGCTCAGCTGAATGAAATGAAATGGAGCAACTAATGAGTTCACTCAGGTCGCGATCATATCTGATGTTTTGGGAGAATGGGAGAGTACGTGAAAATCTCAAAGATATAATACTTGTAAATTCGAAGCGGAGAATTCGGGAACATGAGAATCCGAAACAATCTGTACGCTTAAAGGAATCCTCCCGGAAAAAATCTCGAATCCATCTCATCCACTGATCACTGGCTGTCAGAGCCATCGTTCCCCGATAACAGGGGACGGAAGAACAAGGAATGCATTTCCTCTTGGTAAACAATTTGGTAAACCGGATGGACTTTTTTTGATGAAAGATTTTCGCAGAGGGTGAAACCAACTTTTTCATATTTGAAAAATGCTGCTACCCATTAATCTTCATTTGTTGCTGCATTGATGAGTGATCTTGGAGCTCTTGTAATGAATGTAACGATGTATAATGTTTGTAATGTAACTAGTTGTTCATCGCGTTGCAGTCGTTGTATTTAATTCTGATGATGGCATTATTGCCGAAAGCTCACTAATAAATAATATAATTACAAGAGCTTCAAGATCTGCTCATCAATGCAGCTTTTTCATACTCCGGCCTGTGAGGAGAGTCGTTACATGGACTTCAGCCGCTGGGAATGGGCGGCGTCGTAACCTTTCGACCCGGCGTCCTCGCCGCCTGCCTTACTCTAATGCTGGCAATCAACCTCTCCGCCTGCTTTTGCTAACATGTCCCGCAAAACGTGAGCAGGTGAGGCGCCTAGAGTTCCCAGACGGATTAATCCTTTGTTACACCAATATCTGACACCGCCACGCTGATACCGTCAACACCGAGCACGACATTTCGCGTAATCCACAACAACTATTTTTGACGCTATTTCGCCACAGGGCGCCACAGTTGGCCAACTCTCCTCTCTGCTGTTCGTCTCACGACAGGAATCTGGCATTTACTCCATTGTAACTTATTCAAAGCGTCTGAAATACAGAATATGAACAAGCGTAATTGGAGCGACAAAATTAACTTACCGGAAAAAGATCGACAAACATACGTAGCTCCCCGCAAGGCGTGTTGCCGCCCATATCTGTGAATAGGGTTCTAGTCTCCACATGTTCGGGAACGAGGTTCATCTGAAGCAGTACAGTACTTGCAGTTATCCTAGGAGGAGCATTCACAGCTTTCCACGTCGCTGGGCAGAGCAGTGCATCACTTCCAGCTACTTTCAACTACTGCCAATCTTCGCTTTGTATCACTATACACTGGTGTGCAAACCTTAAGGACGAGATGAATAAAGTGACATAACTTATTAACAACATTGTTGGAATTGGATGAAACTGCGCAAGCATGATGCTAAATTTCTTCCAGTCATGTACAGTGTACTAAACCTCGTATACCGCACAGTCCCTCTCAGTCTGGAGCCAAACTGGACACGTGGAACAAGGGGTTCGTGGGAACAGGACAAGAGGGAGTGTACTGAGCAGGGAGAAGTTACTGTGGAATGTAGTGGTGTTCTTGATTACAGCAAGTCTCAGAGACAACACAGGGTGACTTCACGCGAGGAAGAATCATTGGGAAACTGGAAGAAGGAAGATTTGTTACGAGTGTGGTCCAGGAGTTTGGTGTTGCTCACAGCATTGTTTTTTGCGCATGGAGAGCAATATGGACTGCAGCCACTGCTGCCCAAGAAGAGGAGGTGGTGGATCACGAACAACCGCAACAGCAGGTGATTGCTACGTTTTGCAACAGGCAAAATGGACCCGTCAGTCACAGGCTGCAGTTGCAAAAACATTTATCAGGATTGTAAGGCACGTAATCCCAGCCTGAACAGTGGTACAGTGACCGCATAGGGATGGCCACCAACAACGCCTGATGTTCCTTTGAAACCCGCGCACCGGCGGGAACATTTGCTAGGTGCCGAGACATTGGAGATGGACCACCGAATTTGAAAAATCGCGTGTTCTTCTCGGTCAAGAGCAAACTGAATGTGAGTAGTGATTCTGGACTTACCTGCATATGGGGAAAATAGGAACGTGTAATCTACCCAGGACCATCGTTCAACATGATTGTTTTGATAATCCAGGCGATAGGCTTTGATAATGCACATAGGACCATCGTTCAACATGATTGTTTTGATAGTCCATTCGATATGGTGTGGGGAGGCATAAAGTTGCAAGGGCGTACCAACCTCCCAACTCCTGATCGCGGAATGCTTTCTGATCGACGTTATTGTGACGCTGTACTCCTCACTTATGTGCATCTTTTCAAGGGTGCCTTTGACCTCAACTTCAATCGTATGGAGGACAAGGTGCGAGAGCATCGAGCAGCCTAGGTGGAAAACTCTTGGAAAGCGAGGATTTCCGGCGATTGGTGAAGCCTGCCCGCTTCCCCCAGTCAATTCTATGGAGCACGTGTGGCGTGCATTCAGGAGAGCTATTGTAGCGCATCCCATGCGCCAACAATTGTCCAGCAGTTGTCAATCGCGGTCTTCAAGGAATGGATCGCTTCTCCACAAGAACTCTTAACCAACCTTGTGGCCAGTATTGGAGCACGTGGCAGAGCATGCTTTGCAGTCCGTAGTGTTCATACACCCCATCAAGAACCAGCTCCTCTCTTTTGAATGTCTACCATGAGTTGGAGTAGCCTCACCCATCGACCGCTTCAGACAGGGTATTTGAAGAAAAATGTCTTTTCTAATCGCCCCGTTGCGCTTCTTT